CCTGGCGTCAATCAGGTGAAGAGAGAAGATATCTTGTTAAAGGATTCTAATTTCTGAAAAATTTGTTCAATGCCTTATAGCAGGGTAGCGTAAATTTGAAAATTCGCAGTATCTTGTTTTATTACAACATTGAATAGCAGAGTTACTTGACGTATTAATGGAATCTATCAGGCTGAGTCAAAAGTAATGGGGATTGTTCGCAATTCTAGCTTCACATCGTGCGTAAGACGCTTTTCTTGAGACTGTGGCCCTAGTAAAGCTCGGTCAGGAAGATGATCGCCCCTGAAACCGTTATGTGAGGTTCCGTCAGGTGAAATGACGGACTGCTCACTTCTCAATGCTATAAGAATGCAACGTCACGTGACATGTGAGCCTCAGGTCAGGTTCGGCAGGGAGGTCATCTCCCGGCCGAGTCATCGGAGATCATTCGAGCGATAATCTCACGAAACAGTGTGCCAATGAGGAGATTCAGAAGAAATTTCCGTAAATTACTCCTGAGTAACTTACGTACACCTCAGTTCAACATGTCGAACATACTTAGTGAGGAGCCGCAGTGCAGGCTGACGATCGACAAGATCTAACAAGTGCGGCCACATCTCCGCCGCTAGTACCAATCACAAAGATGTGAATGTTTGGCAAGCGGGTTTTGACTTGTATACTTGCATGAACATGGCGTACTCAATCGTATCAATGTGGTCAGTTAGAATCATCAATCAATGGCTCAGGCGAGACAGAGCTCATCGGTGCCTCAAATAAAGATTTTCTCGGTTGAAATTGAATGAGGCAGCTTTACTACGGGCCTGTATATCATTGTTTGAAGTTGCATTTTGCCTAAAGGAAAGTGGTGTACTCAGCCTTCCCCATGTGTGATATAACACTGAACTAATTACCATTTCAAAATGAACAGCGAAACTTTGCGATTCTTCCGCCATGAATGGAAACAAGGTGTAGACGCAAAGGAGGCTGCTGGAAAAATGTTAGGTTGAACACTAAGTTTTGCAACTTGTTTCATAAGTTCACTCTCATTCAACATGGCGCACTCAAACTTTGGCATCATGTAGAATGCAATGTGAGCTACAAGTGAGCACAAATTGTCTGAATTTTGAACACGAAATAGAAAAGTTTCAGGCATTTTTCGAAAACTAGTAAAATTTGAGAATTTTTGAGGTTTCAAGCTAAAATGAAGCCTTTGGCAGCCTAGACCATGCGCAGTAATCCGGATTCGTCTACAAATTATTGCAAGAGGCTGACTCCTTTGGCCTAGCAAGAAAGGAACAAAATTTATGGGCATGTCGAGATTTGGCGTCCTCATAAAGTCGAACGAGTCGATGTACGCAAGAGCTGCTGGGGATGACCGTCAATGACTAAAGAGTCCGAAGCTCAAATTTCGCCGAGACTTCACATAGTAAGGTTATTTGACCTGCCGAATGCGAATATCATATTCATTTGTTGAATCAACGCCTTTTCCTTGTTTAGGGTGAGACCCCATATCGTACACCTACAGTAATCCTACAAAAAAGCCCTTAACATGCAATTTCACCATCGTTTTCGTGATCAGCATGTCGGATAACACCCCTATGCCAAGTTTCAGCCAAATCCGTCAAACTTTGAATTTTTCCCCTTCATACCATACACCTACCGTAACCCTCACTGCGACGTCAGAATTTGGTAGGACAGCAGCTGCGCTTGTAGTATACATAATAACCAACACAGTGGCAAAATTCGAGTGCACCATGTTGAGTGAGAGGGAAGTTATGAGAAAAGTTGCAAAACTTAGTGTTCAACCTAATATGTGAAATGTATAGACGGTATCCGATTTGTAGCCAGAGCGACACGAGCCTTGAAGATGATGCACGTATCGGCAACTGCACATTTTGAAGTAATCTCCCTAACTTAGCTCGGCCTTTTGACCGTAGGCTATTCCTAGCTGCCACCATTTTAAAGCGAGTGATGGGTTTTTTGCGCAAAAGTGGCATACTCATCAACTAGCTGGCATCACGACATTATAATCTAGGTGCTAATGCACTGGCGTTATTTTTTTCAATGAGAGAAGATTAGATTTGTTTTTATAATATGGCAGCACATTCTTGCAGATTTTTACCTACAGGCAATCTTCCCATGTTTAAAAGTACACCAGTGTCTTGCACAGGAAAAGGCTTAAAACTCGCTTCGGAATGGTCTCGTCAATTTTGAATATAGTATGTCTCTTGCCAAAAGGCCGAGCTAAGCTAGCTAGCTTTTCCTATCGAGCGACTTTGACCCTTGTAGAGGTTGAGTTGAAAACACCCCAGAGTAGAAGTGATAAAATAATTGCACTTCGCTTGCCTTCGAAAAAGATTTTAATGTGTTTGAAAGCAGGTCCATCATTGAGTTTGCATATCACAGCATGCACTATCTGATAGCGCATCCACAATCCAGCTCAAAGCATCCATAAAATGTTGATTGCAGTCGCAGTAAGAAATTGGGAGATAATAAAACTCTTTGGCAGGAACTTTGCTGAGCTTTTATGAAGCAGTGAGACTGATATAATCGTTAGAGAGGTGTGGCGCAGTGGTATGGGGCGCCGCTATGGCCAGATCGGATCAAAGTTCGATTCCGATTGTTGACCAATTAAATTTTTTGCACTCAGGGACGGTGAAATGGTAGCACAGTAAACTGGGATATTACCGAATGGTAATTGGCTAAGTTTAGCAACTCACAGTAAGCATTTACAGTGGCCCTCATTCACTACGAAATAAAGCTGTTTACCTATGATTTTCACCCCTCTTGAGTTTCGCTATTATTTTTGAAATTTCCATTTTCAACTTTTGGACTAGCTATGTTAACAGTTGAATAGACTAAAGAAAATGCGATACAATACAGTTTTTGGCATCTCTAGCTGCTTCTCAAAATTTTTGGAAATATTTCTCTGATCCTATCAAATTTCCTAGTTGGGCATCTCAATCCTCACAGAGCAATAAACGACTAGCGACCAGGGATGCGGCTTTTACTCCTCTTTTTAATAGACTTCTTTTCTTTCTGATTTGTATGGTAGCTGAAGATGAAATCATTGTAATTATTGTTTCCAGGGTCTTCCTACGCTGTAACCAGAAAAATTGGAATCCAAAATTTCGGACCGTTAAACGCTCAGTTGCTCGCTAAAATGAGCGTTTAGTGTAAGCTGTTTTTGAAAGCCTTAAATTGCGAAGATTTTTCAGTTTTTCTAGCGATTTTGTATTTCGCGACTTCGCAAAAGTAAGGGCTTTGGAAAAATTGTTTTAAGAGTACTGGAAATTTAGTAGATAAAGCCGAAAAAGTTCAACGTATTGCATTTTGTTTAGTCTATTCAAATGTTATCAATGCTAGTTCACAAGTTGAAAATGGAAATTTCAAAAAATAGCCAAACTCAAGATGGGTGAAAATCATAGGTTGGTGATCCCTGTTGATTATTGAGCGGTCATCAAGGGAACCTGAGCAGAAACATAACCATTGGGAAGAGGAAAAGTTCTGCATCAAACACTGCTTAGAGCTTTTGTCTATATTTGTTCTAAGTGGTTTGAGCATGGGTCTGAAAAACAGCGCGGGCTTTCGGAACGACCTAATATCGTCACTGATGGCAAAAGTACTGGATAATTTCAGCCTTGGTTTTTCTTATCGCTATGAGTGTTACTTATGGCAGCGATACTTTATTCTAGAAAGCCAAATATATAAAGCATAACGCAAATTGACATTAAGCAGCGTGCTAGGATTTTGCACCATGTGAAGACCACGGGGCAATTGTAAAATGCAACCAGTTAAAAAGAATTATGCTCTGATATTTAATACTTTGATAACTCATCTAAAATTAGTAGAAAATTATTAGCTAGTAATGCTTTACTCTTGCAGAAGTGGTATTGCCATTGATCATAATTTACCGTTCATCAGTAAGTATTTTGCAGCAACTAAAATCCATCAGAGCATCACTATAATTTGCATAATTGATTTGCATACATATCAGCAGGGCACACTAGTCTTATACAAATTTTTCCCAAAAAAAGTCATCAGGCTTTTGCTTTCGTTATTCAAGGACATCCTGCATTGAGCTTCTACATTAATGATGGATTTCACACAAGGTCCAAAAAAGCTCAAAAGCAGTAGCTCGGCAAATCCTTGTCCTGTGTTTTTTTGCTTACCTGGGGTTACTCGACGCGATGATTCCGAAAATCCGCTTCTGAGAGCGTGAAGAAAACCAGCATTTCCCTGGGCCTCTTATTTTGATTTGGGACGAGTGGAACGCTTCCCGCCGTGACTAGAGACGCAGAGTCCTTGTGGGATCCTCATGCTTACTCAGACATTCGTGGTTAACACGCGCAGTGGATCCGCCCACAAAACGGTCTAGCGCGGAAAAATGAGTACTGCTGCGGCATACGCGCTTTTGTTGCGACGTTCGGGCTAATCCCGAAACTAGAAAGGAGGCGGGAGAAATTTACAACACCCGTCGCGACTCCCGAAAATGGTCTTGGTCGCGATTAGTCGTCTAAAATGGTCTTGTCTGTAATCACGCATGCTTCGCCCTGGGCGTCTAAATTCAAAAAAGAAGTTGCGCCGTTGTGTTAGTGGTGGAGCGGGCTGATTCTTCCGGTGAATCTTGCATCTAGTTTTTGATATTTGTTGTTCGAATCTGTCTTGTTGAAGTAGTCTAATACTTTGCTGGTTTAGTGAGAATTTGATTTCATTCTGTCTTAAGTGTCGCTGTTTCTTTGTTTTTTGTTACGCATTGAAGGGTTAACGATCAGGATTCTTTTTTGCCCCACCTTAGCGATTGACTTCTTGATTTGAGTGCTCGATAAGAGTTTCTTCTTCGTTACAGCATTTTCCAGTTCTTCTCAGCGTTCGTTCGCGTTTCTTCATCATCTCGTTAGGAAGTGTATGACAAATGCGTTCAACCCTCTATTCAGGTAGCAATTCGCATGCTTGACCCGTTGGGAGGCAAGTAACAGAGTTCGCCCTGGTTCGATAGTCTCTCCACATCGTCGACCGCAATGAATAGTAACTCGTCGGGTTCATCCGGATTACCACTGAATCTCTCGTCTCATCTCAGAGACAGCTCAGACGCACTTTCACGTCCCACTTGGCTCTTCAATAGTCAGGTTGGTTCGTATTTTTGAATATTGCAAGACTTTTTTGTAGTATCTCTGATCACAATGCGAAACTCTTAGCATTAATTCGATCTTTCTTGCCTATAACTTCTTTTTTTGCTCTTTGTTGCCTATTCTCTATCACCTGTCCATTGTGTATCCCTATGCTGAATTCTATAATTTTCATAGAAGAAAATGCATTTAGAGCTTGTTCTTATATGCGATCTTATCACATTCACTAAATATCATTTTAGCTAGCTGATCTTGCCTAACTGAAAAAATTTTGGAAGTACCCTTGCAGGTTCACCTTGCGAAAAATTTTCACATATCTCGAGTTTCTGTTCACTATACACGAGATTGTTATCATCTTTTTTTGATTGCATTATTATTTATCACTCTGGCGTGAGCAGGAAGTCGAAACATATCGTCCCCTCCACAGATCGTGCTACCTTTGTGGCGTCACGGACGTGCCGCGTGTGACTAATTGGCAACGTTGGCAGCAACACGTTGGCAACATGCAGCAACATGTTGGCGTGGCCAAAATGTTCTGCCGACATGTTGGGGCATGTTGCAAACACGTTGTTGCCACGTTGCCAACATGTTAGCCACACGTGGTAGGTCTGAGACGCAGATTAAGGGTAGCAGATCTGCGGAAGGGACGATAAGTAAAGTGAACGCAAAACATTGTTCGTAACAGTCTCGTTCCTGCTTGCATAGAGACAACGAACTGCCGTAGCTTTTTGACTCAGGCCTGCTCCACTCCTGCCTGCTCCTGCGCAAAGACTTTCAATTACTCGTTTTTAGACTTCATATTAGACGCTTTTGGCTTATTCGCGGATGAGCTTCTTCTAAGTGCCGCTGAATGCGCAAGACAAGCTAATAGGTATAACCAAAGATTTTTTTAGAGCTCTCTGATTTCTCGTGCTTTCAGTTACTGGCAAACGCTAGGAGAGAATGGTCAACAACGCACGAAGAGATTTGATAGCATGGTGCAAGCCAGATTTACTTGGAATGGAAATATTCGTTCAGCACTTAAAGAGCATTGTAGGCTTTCATGTACCCTTCCAATAAATATATATATGTCTTCAATTTAGGGGAGACCTGCGCGCTTATTCGTTCAAACCGGAAAAGAACGAACTCGTTCCCCCGTCGGTAATATATACATCCTTTCTATGCACATCAGCCTTAAAATGGCATCTTTATTTCAGAAAAAACGCACTTGTACAGTTGCAGTGGCTACCGATCCGGTCCAGGTCAGGGATGAGGACAAAGAATATGAACTCGAAACACTTTGAAGCAATTCTATCACACATAAGCATCACTATTACTTTTGTTTGTTCCAACATGTTCTCATTATCACCGCACTAATTAGAAGAATTTCCATTTTTATATCCCATATCACTTTTGATGCTCTTGCTTATTTGTTTACATTCCTATAACTTGAAGATCCGAGGCCGTATTCATTATTCATACCTTGAGGTAAATCCTGCTTCCAGGTAGTTTAATTACTCATTATCATAAGTTTTATCACTAATAATGACTGATAAAACTACTGGAAGTACGATTTACCTCAAGGTATCAATGATGAATACGGCCTCTCAATTCACTTAGCCACTATTATACTCGAATTCCATTTATTATGGTGCTCTTGCTTTGATTTGTTTGCACTCTAACTTCGAGATCTAAATTCATTTATTTTGTGTGTGCACTTGTTATGAGAAGTTCTCAATAAACATCTATTTGAGTACCGATAAGAGAATAAACTTGAAAACATGGGTATTCAATGCATTTCAAAAAGTAACTAAGAGAACAGCGATGAGCGCAAGTTGCGCCGTAATTGAATTCTCAACATTACCGGGTCTTGCGCTAAAGCTCAGTTTTTCTCCCGGTCTGCGTGAGTGCGGGAGAATAACTTGTCTCGTGCAGCAATTTCCCGATCACTACGCCGGTGTCCCGAAATTCTCGCGACTGTTTTAATTAAGTCCCGCAGTCATTCTGTCGCTACATAACTTTTCTTTGCGCGCGAGTCAATCACGAGTGTCTGAGTATATCACTGCAGTATGCCGCCTCTGACGGTGTGGGGGATATCGCAAGCTCCTTGCTTATATTCACTCTTGGCTTACACAAATTTTCTGTTCACCATTGAAGTTCGGTTCCATAATCTTTCCTTTAGGCTTTTCTAAAGCACTGAACCTTTGTTGATAGCGCATGTGCTCCGAGCAAAGCGCGCCCCTACAAACCGAGTTCGATGTTAATTTTGCTTGTTTTATTCCTTTTGTCTTATATGTTTTTTCCTCTCACGAGAGGGGAAATCGAAAAAGGTCAAAGGAGACTCGGAAAAAATTATCAAAGGGGCATCGTTTCAAAGTCTCCATGGTCCCAGCTTATGCCGCGCCCTGTCCATACCTCACAAACAAAATCGGTTACTTGTTCACAAGCTCAATTTCCGGTTTACCTACTGATTTTGTTACGTGTATTTGAACAATTATTGTATTGGTTGCAGATCAGGTCTGCTACGGAACATCGTGAGAACCATGAGATTAGCAAGTACGCTAAGTGTACACATTATCTCTGAATTTTTGGTTGTCTCTGTTTGCTCCACTACCTGCTATTTTTGCTCAGTTATTACAAACTGCTCTTCAAAATAGATCAAAAACCAACAAAAAAACTTCACTTCCAATGATAGAGCATTGCGGCGGTTGAGAAAATTGTCAGCGGGATGGTTAGTAGTGACGGAGTTGCATCGGGCGGTTCATCGGCATAAAGAACGCTTCCGGCAAAGAGGTGCTTCGCAAGGCTGAAGGCGGGCATTTGTTGCGGCAGCCAGCACAGCCTGAAGTTGGTCGGATCAATCCGCAGTTAGACATTTCGGTGCGATAATTTTACCAAGACAAAAAGTTTCTAGCCTAGCATTGTCTCTCAATCTGGTTATCTGAAAGCAGATTTTCAAAAGTGATCAACGGTAGTAGAAAGAAGTCAAAAGAAGATTGCCAGCATGCTTTGCTTTCAACGGTTATATACGCTCGAAACCATTTTGCTCGATAATGGTAAGAATGTTAGTACTCTTGAGAGATGTTATGGTCTTGCTGTAATGCATTAAATTTTGAATTGAGATATTACATCATGTCTCCTCCTTTGCATTTAGAAGCAACAAAGTATTTTTTGCCATTTTATTGAGAGCTTTGCTTCACAGCGATTTTTCCATCTTTCAAAGTGCAAGTTGTCCAACAACGGAATGTCCTCTTCCATTAGTGCAGAGTTCAAGAACTACATGAGCATTCAATAGGTCATGATTTTCTGGTGCACGCATACTTCTGCATTTTGAGGTCCCATACCAAAATAATGCTCGAATGACACCGAAATCAAGCTCAAAAAGTCTAGCCTTACCTCTTTTGCCTGAGACCAAACTCTCTTAGCAAACATAAACGCATTGTGCTCTTCGGACCATACGGAATCATTAAGGCGTGATGAGGCAATGAACGGTAGAAATGGCTTGACAGCTGGCAATTCGAAATATCTGAATAATTTCTATAAGATACTCTTGAATTGCAGGCGTTGGGAATACATTAGAATTCGATGGTGACCCACTCGGGGAGATATCCGCCTACGAAACCGGTGGCAATCCTGGAGGAAAGATAGTTCGAGAAATTCTGGAAATGGGACAGTCATCCAAGCGCATTTTCTCGCAGAAACTGCTTGTTCTGTGGAAATCCTGACATTTCTAACATTCAACTATGATAGGGCGAGATCGACTGATGATCTGGTTTTGAGGTTTTGCTTTGGATCGGAAAGTAACTAGCAAGGACTTTTTGAGTAACCTGCAGCCTTTTTGAATGTATGAATTGTAATCTATAACCATAAGACGCTGGGGAAAAATGTACGAAGAAGAAGAAATAAAAATATTTTTAAAGTCCTAAAAATCATTTTGAAAATTACTTCTGTAAGGGTTCCTGTATATATAAAATAATAATCAATATAATGTATATTCACTGATCCTAATTAGGAACGAATTTTTTGACAAGCAGTGAATGGTGATTATAGTAGCGACAAGACAAATTGGGATTAAAAAGAAAAAAAGAAGCAAGAGAAAACTAATTCTCGGAATGGATTACAACTTCCTCATAAATGATTTGGGTTTTGAAAAAAAGGTTTGTTGTTTATTTACAGAATTTTTTCTGCGAAATCCTATTATCTCTCTTTGGAATTGAATCATAGGAAATGAGAATTTCTCAAGCTAAACAGTATTCTTAAGGTGATAAACATTTACTAGGTTTTAAGTCTCCATTACTTAATCTTGATAGAACGATAGGGTGCAAGACAAGAGAGAAACGGAAGTTTATAATTTTACGAAAAAAAAGTTTGTCTGAGAATTTGTCATAAAGTTTGGAATAAAGACTATGTTATGACAGAATAGCCTTGTCTTAAAGATCTAAAGCACACATCAAAAGTGAAGGTTTGGTGTAGTCCGTGATAATACCCAAAATCACTGATGAAAACTGGTTCTTTAACCATGCAGATGTTCTTTCAGTGTACGCTATCATTTCACAACTGTACAAAAACCAGCTTAGTTTCAGTAGAATTGCCTAGACATCATTTAATTGTATGCTATTCAATTTGATTTAAGGGCACGTAAAACCTCCAGTAAATTTCAAAAACATAGCAAATAGTGAAAAAGGCGCGCGCTCTTCATCATTCGTAAGTTGTAACCAAAAATTCCAGAGCTTTTTTGTGCTTAATTGTTGTCTGTATAAAATTGAGGGTATGTGCGGATTAATTAAGAATACGTAATAGTCTGCGGAATTATACAGTAATTCGAAGGTTTGAGTCACTTTGAAAATCTTCCGTGTTATTACTGAACTACGTTCCGAAACAAAAGAAACGCATTTTATATGAGGAAATAGGAATTTTAATTATTTGCATTAGAAGGCTTGCTTCTTTAACCTGCCTCTGATTCGTCATGCACAGAAGATATAATACAAGATATGCAAGACAGAAAAATCAGTGATGATGCAGTCTAATAACGAAACGTTTGCTATGTATTGTGATCAAGAATCCTACCTCTTATTAAACGAAACATGAAGTAAGCAGAAGAAATTTTGATTTCCCGTAGTTGATTATACTTTCAAAGTTCTGACTCGAACATTTTGGTATAAATCTTTATGATTGTTTGAAATGGATAGACAGCCATCATATTGCCGCTTTCAGTAGGCATCAGGGCAATGAAGTCATACAGGCACGCATGACTTCGTTTTCGGATGGAGGACAAAGTTGAAATTCGTAATCGTGTTTTTAGTCGGAACCGACAATGACGGCAGCGATCGTTAGCTTAAGCCACGGAGACTCCCAGTCTTCTTTTGGCTAAGGAAGACCAAATTTACAAATCTATAAAATTCTCAGACAATAAAGACATTGAAAACAGACATTACACACGTAGACATTAAAGTTAATACCCCGGAACACGTCCCTTGTGCATCGTTCTGATGTCACAGCGAGCGCATTCTGTAGATTCAAGTATAATGCTAAAATAAATGGATTGCCTACAGTACACAAACAATCAAATTACAGAAAACTAAGTAGATAGATATATGCAATATTTACCAATGTTATTTACAAAAACATCGAGTTTTTTGAAAACAAAGGTGACATGTGTTCTTTCCTACAACTCGTCTTCAGCGACGCCAAACGACGAAGACGTCTGAGGAATTCACATAATTTTTGCAATTTTTTATCGTGTTTTTCTGGCTTTGTCAAAAAAAATCCTCTTCAAGGAGACCGATTCTAAGCGTTGCCTCCCCTCTTTGCTTGGCCTACAAATCCTGCTCTAATTGACATCCGCGTTGATACAAGTAGCGGGTTTAAGCAGGGAGTCCTTTTCATTTTGTATCATACTTCATTTGCAGTTTTTGTTCGATTTTTTTCACGTAGAAATAATGACTGTTCTTTTATAGCTTTGACCGTAATCACTATTGGTTCGAGACGTTCCAATGTGTTTTTATAACAAACTAGCTGGCTTACCCAACTCCGCCCGGCCCTGTTAAAACACTATAAATAAGGTTCTATTCCTGTCCCTGTACAACCTTTCCCTGTGCCCACTTCTACAAGCAATTCCCTATTCCCACTGTGCTAGTAAACAGCATGCTCACTTATCCTTCTGTGCCAACCCCAAACCCATAGCTCAAACTTTGCAAAAAAATCAATGAAATCGATAAAAACAATGGATAATAAGAACTAGTGTTGTATTCGTAATCAGCATGCCTGATTACCCCCCTGTACCAGCTCCCAGCCGCGTAGGTCGAATTTGCAAAATATCGATAAAAAATAAAGTCGATGACGATCGATGACAAAAGTTGGCCTCTGACATCCGCCCGGCCCCAAAGTGTATGTGTGCATGTTGGTCCGGATCGGTTCTGAAATAAAATTTTCCATTCGGAACATACATACACGCATATAGACATACAAACAGGATACAGATATACATATTAGGTTGATGCAAAAATAATGAGCGTTTTTATTTGCTTGCTTTAACAAAGCAACCAGTCTCAACCCAACAAAGGGTAAGGGGTACTGTTCGATAGAGCAAAGCAAGCTCTACAAGATGGCACTCATGTCTTTGCGCCATGCTCGATCCACTGAGAGTTCGAACTCAAAATCTAAAGATTTCCAAATGCCTAAAAAATCGAAAAAAATCAGGTCTTCGTCCAAATAATTTCTACGGACCTCCCACTCTCTCACATCAATACTATCGATACCTGATATCCATATGTGCGATTGCCGTATTTTTTCCTTGACTAGAAATTGAGAAAACGAAAACTTCCCTGATTTTCTCAAAGCAATGCTGAGCCGTTTTTGCATATGTAGTTCTATACTACAAGCCTAGGTAAGCATAACTGTAGATTTTCAGCCCATTCCAAGCGATAGTTTTCGAAAAATAACGAATTCGGATTTTTCGTTTCAGTTTCAGTGCTAAAATCGACATTTCTCGAAAAGTACCGCTCGAAATAGGCTGAAAACCTACAGTTACGCTCACCTAGGCTTGCAGTATAGAACTATGTACATGTGCAAAAACGGCTCAGCATTGCTTTGAGAAAATCAGGGAAATTTTCGTTTTCTCAGTTTCTAGTCAAGGAAAAAAATACGGCAATCGCACATATGGATATCAGGTATCGATAGTTTTGATGTGAGCGAGTGGGAGGTCCGTAGAAATTATTTGGACGAAGATCTGATTTTTTTTCGATTTTTTGGGCATTTGGAAATCTTTAGATTTTGAGTTCGAACACTCCGTGGATCGAGCATGGCGCAAAGGCATGAGTGTCATTTTGTAGAGCTTGCTTTGCTCTATCGAACAGTACCCCTTACCCTTTGTTGGGTTGAGACTGGTTGCTTTGTTAAAGCAAGCAAATAAAAACGCTCAATATTTTTGCATCAACCTAATATAAACAGACATGCAACTTTATATATAAAATTTACAATCGAACAAGATTATCGTAATTGGGAAAAATCAGGGTTAATACGGGAATGGGGCTCCATTTGATTGCAGGCACGGGGTAGATCATGCGAGTGGTCACTATACCACGCAGTTAGATAAGCAACTCTTCTTTTTGTTTTCATTTTTCATCTTATTGCAGTAATTGCACTGGAATTGCAACAATAGCAGATAGATATTTGTTATTCTGAAATTGAAGGGAAAAAGGAAAAATGAACGAACTCCTGGCTTAGCCGGCAGCCTTGTCGACACGGATGCCAGTAGAATTGCAAAGATGAGACCTTCAGGAGCCACATTTTTAGTATTTTCTAGAAAAGTGGATGATTTTCAAGTCACTTGTCACTTTTGCTTATCGAATAGTACCTTTAGAACGATTGCATCATTTACGCATGACCAGCTTTCAAGTAGTTAGGACGATTTATTGTTATCTTTTAAAAAGATGTCTTGGGTACTGCAATCGTTACTAGCTTGCTCTATTTACCTCTTCTATGATGCGCCGCTGCTCAATTTTTGATGGAAAATTGAGCTTTTAAAAAGATTTAGAAGTAATGTATGTTTCCTGAGCGTATCATGTTGTGTGTGTTTCTATGATAAAGCCATCAACGAAAAATCCAGTAAGATTTCTCTTGTCACTGCGTGCTGTTTTTCGTTTTCTAATTTCAAGTCTAGAATTCAAAGAGAGAGAGTGGAAGAAGGTTTGCAAAAGTTAGACGGCTTTGTCTAATTAGATAAGAGCACTAAACCTCATGCATAAATATCTTCTGATTTGAGGCTGTGCGAGAAGTCAAGCAGATTTTCTAATTCTTGCTAATAATAACTCGTACGCGATTGAGACTTTTCAGTAGTTGCAGGAGCCTGGCCCTTTCCGCGAGCAGAATTCTATGGCTGCAAATATGCTTTTGCTTCCGATCCCATTTACTGACAGTGAGACGATTGTTTACAAATTCTATCCGTCAATCAGGTGAAGAGAGAAGATATCTTGTTAAACGGTCCTATTTTTTGAAAAGTTGTTCAATGCCTAAGTAATAGCAAAGTAGCGTAAATTCAAATGTTCGCAGTATCTTGTTCAATTACAACTTTGAATAGCAGATGCTCAACGTATTAATGGAATGTACCAGGTTGAGTCAAGAATAATGAGGATATTCGCAATTCTAGCTTCACATCGTGCGTAGGACGCTTTTCTTGAGACTATATATATCATTGTTTGAAGTTGCATTTTGCCTAAAGGAAAGT